AAGAATTAGATAGAGGGCCGTAGGTTTGTCAGTTCTTAACTGTTATGCGTTACCCTCTTTAAATAAAGTTGATCTTATCTTATCTTATCTTGCTGGATCTTTTCACACGCTGAAACGGCCAAAGTGCAGTCCTTCTCCGATAGCTCACGAGAAGGGGAGTCTGCGGGGTTCTCAGCTGATGGTATGTACTGGAAGTTCAACACCATGTTCTGGGAAAGAATCACCTCGTTCACTTCCTTTAGCACGTCGTTGAGCTTCTTGCACTTGCCACCCTGCCTTTTCCAGGACTGTATAAGCGCCATGTTATCTGAGTGAATGTCCACGCGACAGTTGCAAACCATTGACTTTCCCGTCTGTAACATTCTCAACACCGCCCTGGCCTCCTTAACCACGATAGGGAGGTCGCGCTTGAGCCCCGTCCAATAATCTCTAACCGTGCACGAGTCTTGACTACCATAGTGGAACACCCCGCCACAAGCGATCTCCGAAGCGTCCGAGAACATTTCAACGGCGGAGTGACGCTCGGGGGCCCAATGAAGACATCCCTCCCACGAATCCAAAAATCTCCAATGCTCTAGTTCCTTTCGGAGGCCACCCGAAACCCTTATATCGCGGCGAGATCTTTGCCGACCAGAACAAGCTTGGTAGACCTCTCTGGCGTACAGGCGAGCAGCGGGCACCGCCATTGAAAAAGATGCCACTTTACCCGACCATCTCTGAAGCGTTTTAAGACCCACGCTACGCTTGCTCAGAATTTCCTCTCTTAACGCAGCAAATTTGATTATCTTTTCCTGATGTAAAACGAACGCTTGGCGCTCCGAATCCACAAGGAAGACCAGAAATCTCACAACCCGAGATGGTTGAAGAGTGCTTTTCTTTAGACCGATGAAACCCAGCGAAATCAGAGTTGACGCGCAGATGAAGCACGCGCGCTCGGATCGATCCCTGTCGCTGAACGGCGACGCCGGACTCGTGCATTCGCGTGGAGCCAAGAGCTGACCAACGTTTCTGTCGTCAATATATTGACTGCATGGGACACCCAACAATCTCATGTAATTCGTTGCACCCATGCCTATTGTGTGGTATATGTAGGCGCTAGCCTTCCAACCAAATGGAATAGCGTTGTACACAAAGTACCAGCCCCCCCCCCTCCCCCAGCAAAACCCGAAGAATGTCCGACATTCTGACGCCAGCAAAACGTGGTCATAGCCACTTTTGTCATCCATAGTAACTTGAAAGTGTCCCTTGCCTATATATTTAGGGAGGTTGTTAATATGATCCAATTTCAACGGTAGATCAGCGATCCACAAATTCAGGAATCTTTGATCGTGACATAAGCGGGGTTTCGACGGCTACATGGTCAGAGGCATAACCAAGTGGGGAGGATCCACCTCACCTACCCTACCCCAAACGGAAATCGAGCCATTTCTTAGACGCTGGGATATAGTGTCGGTAATGAAGTACTCAAACCCCAGGCAAGAACGACTGTTAGCAAACGTCATTCTGGGGGGAGAGGGGCAATCATAGAATCCTCCCTGAAAGTCCCCCCTAAATGGCACGAGGAAATCCTCCAGCTTTACTTTATTACGGATGTAGCCTAAGATTTCTGCATGCTTAGGAATGCCAGTATCCAATATCTCCTCCCACCTTGCTACATGTCTGTGGACCTCGCCAACCTACAAAGTGGTTGGGATCGCGGAACGCGAGTTCGCTCACAGAGGCTTTCTCTTTCAACAGGGCCACCGACGTAATGTCTGGAGTCGAGGCTGGCACGCTCCGGGGTTTCCCCTCCCAGTCACACCACACTATACGAGTACAGTTGCCAATACACTCTAAGGCGTTAAATCCCTAACGTGAGGAAAGCGACAGTCAACTTAATCAACAGGAGAAACCCCGAAGCGAGCAGCCCCGAAATACCCCGTCAGTGGACAGAGCAATGAAGGATATCAGTTTATCCCTTCGAAGCGACTCGCCTAAGGGTGATAAAATACAGAAACAAGACAATAGCCAGGCAACACTTTATTCGATTCAGCCAGGACATACGAATTGACATGTAATTCAAACTTTATTTATACACGTAGATATACATGTATACATGTAGATGCATTAACAGGGGGAATATATCCCATAAACCTGACGGTAATAGTGCGATTATTGTTTCCCCTTGTCTGGGCAGTCCTTGCTGTAGTGTCCAGCACTCCTGCAAAGGAAACACTTTCCCCGAACCGGGGGTCTTGAGGCCAATCGCCTGCGTTGATAAGCATTCCCTTGGTAAGGCCGATAACGGGTTGCTGGGCCAGGGGCAGAACTCCCGAACGATTGCGGAGCAGAGCTGTTGGTCTTTAATATTTTATGGATTTGGCTGGCCACCTGCTTTTCCTCCTTGTCGCCTAGCAACTGAATGACTACCCTTGATAGTCTAGCGTCCCTCACGAGGGGGCGGCATTGCTTGTGGATGGCCTCAATTTTTTTCCATTCTGCGTGGTTGTTCTCCCTCGCGGTATCCGACAATTGGCCAAGAGCTGCTACTAGAGCGTACGCGTCAACTAGCGGAACTGGCCTAGAAGCCAACTGACGAACGGAATCAAGTATGGAGTCCACAAAATTCTTCGAAATGGAAGCCTTGGTGGCCTTTTAAAAGCTCGTCCTGAAGCGCCTTCATGTCGACCTGAACGATAAGGGCATTTATAGCATAAGTACGCCGCCTAACTTCATGGCGTGCGCATTCACGAATATTGCATGTCGACCAAATTGCCATCAAGGCTGGTCCCGCATGTCACTGACATTACCGCGCAGGCAAACTACACCATTTAATAGAAATCCTGGACTAAAGACGGATTCATACAGATATAGAGTACGCTAGGCTGACCTGCGAGTCTAATTTGAATGAACTAGTATCTTAGCCATTAAGCCCGTATACATCTAAACATACTGCGCAAGGCTGTAAAGCTGGGTGGGCGTATGAGCCAAACCGCACTTCTAGTGCAGAGTTGCACTTTCTGTGCCAGAAGGCAAGACACACTATAGAAGCCAAACAACCTCTTTAACGCAGGACAACGTTGCGCAATAAATGCAAAATGCAAGACATACGTGACAGGGCACACAGCACTTGGGACGCAAGACACACTTGCGCAAAAACTGTGCACTATGCAAGACACCTGCTAAGTTGAACAGGAACCTTAACGCAAGACCCACGAGCGCCGTTAATATGCATAATGGACACACTTGCTGAGCCAGAAATAAATGCACATAATGCATTGAATGGGCTATGAAACTAATCAAGAGTGACAAAAAGGCGTACTGGAAATCTGTAGGTAATAATTTTTTTGAACAGATTGGGGGTTTAGGATCCCTGGGAGAAAACCTTGATTGCGATAAATTATTTGAGAAGGTAGAAAAGATACCAGTTTTTTATAAAGAAATATTTCAAGCGTGGTCGGACATCAGTAAAACAGACGTTTCAAATGAGGWGGAAATAAGCAGGCAGTCACCATGGTTTAATACTTTTATTAATCTTAATGTTGAAAATAACGTTATTAAGAGGTTGACWTCAAAAGGTATAAACTCAATGGCTCAAGTCTGGACTGGACAAACGACTACATGGTCTATTGCAAAAGATATTGGTTGGGAAAATAGGGATTATATGCTGCGGCGAGCGCTCTTAGATACTATACCTAGAGAGTGGAAGGAAAAATTAAGAATGCAGAGCAAAATAGAATTAGAAAGAAGACAGACAGAACAAAAGCCGTTGCGAATAGTGAAACCTTGAGTTGGAGAAGCCACGGTAGAGGGAATATTGGACGCCCTAAAAAGAAACCCCAGCTGTTACATATAATGTAAATAAACAATCGCATTATTACTGTCGTGAGTGTTTTTCATGTTCTTTTTTCAATTGATATTTGTTGTTTGACCAGCCTAGGGCAAGAAGTCAAGAAAATGCACGGATTGAAAATCATGATCAACATTTTCTCGTCAGATTTCTCGATATTTGCATGTAAAATTCAACAAAGCACTTACATTTCCATGGCTACAAATTCACCTTGATCTTTCTCTTCATTAGATGGGGACTGCAATTTCATTTTCTTAGCAGAGATGTTATTTGCTGCTTTAAATTCGTCGGAGATCCTCCTTCTAACGGGAATTCTCGCTGGCACGGGTGGGCTGCCATCGGCTGGGATTGGATCAGGCCACAATTCAGTTTGTCCATTTCCTCCAACAAAGTGCTGTTAATCACAAGAAAGTTTTATGAAGTCGACAAATATTCAGGAGAAGAAAAATATCTTCTCGAAACTAGAATACTGTAAATCTACTTACTGTAGAGCATACTGCTTTGTGCTTGTTGATACGGTCGACATTGAGGATCTCGTGCTTACGATCGCAGTTTTTAATCCATTTCATACATTTCTGCAGATTTCTTTTGGGCTTTGGGAAGGGAATAAACTTAACACCCTTCAACCTTACTGGGTAACGCTGGTCAACCTTACATGTCCCCCAACAACAACGCAAAACCATGTTTTTCACGACCCGATCGCACAATGATCGATCCGACACTTGTTTACATTTTGTGTGGGACTTTTGTGGGACAATATGGCGGCCGCGCGGGATCTCTCCTCTGATTGGCTGATAACAAAATGATGATTGACAGGTCGGATCTATGAATTGCTAAACCCATACTCTGTTCGTTCTCGTCTTTTCTACGAAAAGCTGCCACTTGAGTTGCATGAAAGGTACCCATGCCACTCAATGTCTCTTCATTTATGTCAATGTTATCAACAGCATATTTGGTGTAAGCTTGATGCGTGGTACCCTCGTTGGGAAAGTTGCGTGGTACAAAGACGTTTTCCTTGTATCTCTTGAGAACATCATCATTGGCGATTCTATTGTCCATTCTTAGCAGTGTTTCATAACTCACGGAGTCACGTCCAGCAGAGTACAAAAGCTGTACAAGTTCCTTTGATCTTGTTGCCTGATGAATAGTTAGACCCAATCCAACGTGTTTTGGAGTTAATCTCCGTCCCTGACTTGCCAAAAACAATATGTCTTGGCAAATGCTTAAGATTCGAGCATTCGTGGACTAATTCTTCAGCACTCTCTTGGATGATGTTACCAATACAATCATGACCAGGTGAGGATTTGATGTCGTGATGAATCTTGACTCCCACCCTATGAAGCCAACTTAACAATTCTGCATTATGATCTACATCTTCTGGCACATCATTGACCATCACATCACCATTATCATCGTCATCATCATTTTTCAAAGTGCATTCTTCATCAGTGTAAGATTCATCGCCTGGAACTTCATGAACATCCAGAGACAGGCAAGAATCAGGTGCTTGATTGCTCAGCGATTTCATCACAGGTAACCCAAGCTGTACTGTGAAATCATAAAATTGAAAATATTTTGAATAAAATGTTTTGAACTTAYATATGTGTTTTTCTTGTGTTTTATGTTCCTGGTGTGCAGTTTTTTTGAGATTTTACCTTGTTATGGTCCCTAGTTAATATATATGACAAGGTAGGACACCAAACGAACTTTCTCGACGATGACCGTTTCACAAAACAAGTCGTTTTCGTACCAAATAAAAAGTCAGATGAAGATTTCGCTTCGCTGGACTTTAGAGGGATAACAATCGAATAAATCTGTGTCTTTCTTTTGTCACTATCGAAGTGTACGAACGAACAGTTCTCGTGTTGATTTCAAACTCAACTTCAACGAACGCCATTTTATCCGTGACACGGTCATGTGTACCCACCGATCACGGTCGGGCCTGGAAACCATACCAAATTTTAACCACTCGGGAGGAGGCTCCGTCGTATTTGTTCCACAAAAACAACCCTTCTGTCCTATCCTATCCCTTGGGAAATATTTTGTGACCTTTGCGATGGTGAACCAATCACGTCACTGATCGGCTTGGGGGGAAGCTAAAAAGTTTGAAAACATTACGTAATTTGAAACTTCTCTCGTGATTTTATGGCCGTACTGGCGGACAATGTCTTTCAAGCGCCAAAATGAAGCCGAATAATCCAGATAGTCGAATTGTTTTGATTTTTATGCAAATCACTTGTAAAGTTGCAAACGCATAAAAACTCTTTTTTTTTTCTTTCTTTTCCTGGGTTCATGTCCCTGTTTTAAATATATATTTTACGATATTTGATCTAACCCATTGTTGTACGCATTTAGGATATGTTTTCACTTTTCAAAACACTTGAAAACTTTTTACACGTAATGTTTTCAAACTTTTTAGCTTTCCCCCAAGCCGATCAGTGACGTGATTGGTTCACCATCGACACGGCTAAAAAACCGCTGATTGGCTAATATTTACATTCCACTGAGTGTGCGCGGTACGCACAGAACGATTTCCGCTGATTTTATCGCGGGCGCTGCCATTCTTTATTGACAAAAATGGCGGCGAAGGCTTTGGATTTTCGAAGGGATTGAGGTTGAAATGAGACTCAACGGAAGTGTTTTAAGCGACAGATGTCCCTAAATATTGACAGAGTCAAAGGAAGCTACATTGTGTAGCTCTTAAATCCACGAAATGATATTTCACGGCAGTTATTACGGAAATTTGTCAATCAAATGTTAGAAGTCACTTGCATATCGATTTTAATGTGTTCGCGATTTTACTACCTTGCATTTCCCTTAAAATTTCGACATCAAAACATCTGTGATCTGCACTGGTCTGCTACAATTGACACGAGTAAAGCGTCGGATGGTGATTTTGGTACAGCGTTTTGCCATGAGAAAACTATTAAAGACTACTGAAAGATTTCGACTTCTTGATTGTTATTCTGTGCTTTCTGCTACAACTGACAGCATTACAACTAGAAAGAAAAAAGTTCAACGAAAAAAAGTTTGGTAATACTATGTTTTTGTTTTGAAAACAAATAAATAGCATATTGCTGTTTTGACTGTGTGTTTGTTTGTATTGTAATTTTATTTTGAACTGAGAGACTCAAACCATGCATCACTGCAACAATAGAAGCTAACATTTTCTTTTGTTACAGTAATAACACTTATATTGTCAATAGCACTGTATAGAGTAGATCCAATAGCACAACAAAGTCACGCCAAGTTAATCCAGTAGTAATGCCAAGTTGGCCTTGTACTTGATAATAGTAGTCATGATCATGTTTGAGTTGGGGCTTTCCATTGACAAGGTGACAATAGAATGCTGGTTCATTGCATGCATCTTTAGGTTTCAGTTATCTTAGAGAGTAGGGGCACCTTATTTCTACAATACCATGGTCATACTCATTATTTGTTACTTTTCTGTCTGGTGAAGCAGCAAGCCATGGCATTGTGTTTGAAATAACTACCCCACACTCTGAAAGTTTTATTTTGCTTCCACATGCTGTCATGTAGTCAACATACTTTTATGCAGCTTATGCCTCATTTGTAATGCCATGTTTTACTGCAGGAATATGTGACAGATCGTTTTGGTACAGTATGGTATTTTCTACAAATTTCTTTTGTGAGATGTTTGCTTTTCTTTTACAAACAACTACCAAATTTACTGCTAGTTAGCCTGTGTTTACGTGCAGTKTGCCACAAGGGATTTTCACTTTGGCCTCTTGTTACCCTTTCAACAACAGAAGATTTTGGAACCTTCAATTGTTCAATTCGCAGAAGTGCTTAAAATTAGAATTATACAAAAATTATGACAACTAAGTAGCCCATAATCATGTCAGACATCAGCTCTAGCTCCAGAAAGTTTCAAATGCAAACCTGTGTTTCCGTATGCTGTTTGTTTTCTAAAATCATGTGTAAGCTACATCAAAACCACAACCTGGTAAACTTTGAATAGTTTTATTTTCATAATTGTTTTACCATCTACTAATCTGCATGTCTTCCCATCCCTGAATCCATTCATATCTGTGTGTGTGTGTGTTTTAGGTTACCTGATTTCAAAAAAAGCTCATCTCTGTAACACAACACATATTTCTTGTATTCTAAATCGCTCTTTTGTTAGTGCCTGTTTTTCATTGTTACTTATTGTAGGCCTGATGCATGTCCTTTACAGAAGCTCCTAATTTCAGCAGAACTGAATAGATTTTTCTTCTTTTCAAGTGGCAAAGGCTTTTAGAACCTTATTTTTAACAAGTACTCCAAATTCAATGCAGTAACAGTATTTTCTTTAAAAAAAATAGGTCTATAGATTCAACATCTTTGCAGGCTAAAACACACTGATCGACTATAGTAAAATAAGATTATGTACATGTAGTAACAATAATTTCTGGTTATATTTTTCTTTTTTTCTTTCAATAGATGTTTTTTTCTCTCAACTCTTCTGCTTCTATTTTCAACTGAAAGACAGTTTTTCTTTTCATTTTTCAGAGTTTCTCTTTAATGATTCGGCAAGTTCTTTTCGATTTTCGAGAGAAGACCTCTGTTTATTGCTAAAGCTTTTGCCAATACCAAGAAGATATGCAGACCTTAAATTGATGGGAATCTCAAAGAGAACAAGGCCAAATTTGCCGTACTTTTTAAGCTCCGAAGATTGCCTTCAATCAAGCCTCCTTCTTCCGGCATTTTGTTTTTGAAACTTCGCGCATGCGCAGCGGTTTTTTAGCCGTGTCTTCACCATCGCAAAGGTCACAAAATATTTCCCAAGGGATAGGATAGGACAGAAGGGTTGTTTTTGTGGAACAAATACGACGGAGCCTCCTCCCGAGTGGTTAAAATTTGGCATGGTTTCCAGGCCC